GTGCGGGACGGCAGGCCCCGCCTGCTCCTCCCCTGCCTTCCCTCCGCCCCTGGTTGTGACACCGCCCGCTGCCCTGCGGTCTGGTCCCGCCCTGGCTGCGGGCAGCTGAACTGGGAAGGACGGTGAGGGGTGTGGCACGGCCGAGGGAGGGGTGCTGTCACAGACACTTTAGGCAGGGCAGGAAACACCTAGCTCTTCCAATAACAGCTGTGCAAGGATTTAAAAAGAAGGCCGTTCAGACCGTCTTACGCCAGGCTGGATCTTTGGCCCCAAAGGGAAGTGCAAAAGGAGAGCTGCTTGCTCAGGCTCCCTGACCTGTTCTGGGAGATGCAGGTAGAGGTGCCTCTCACTCAGAGCTCCCCACTTAATGGTGTGATACAAGTGGAAACATCTGAAGGAATCCTCAGCACTGTCCTATTTTGAAACACTAAATGGTTAGATGTATTGGACAGAACCTCATCAGTCTTGTGTTCCCCATGCAGATTGGCCTATCTCTCCTAAACACAGTGAGGTGCTTTGTCATCTAGCATTTGGGTATGTTGTTTGGTGTTCAACCCTCAATGTATGGCAACTTCTCCTTTTGTTGAGAACAACACTCCTTCACTTGCAGTGCTGTATTTGATCACCAGTTTGTCCATATGCTGGAGCAAATGCTAAGTGAAGGGACCTTGAAGGCTTAAGCAACACTCCTCCTCCACACCTGGTGCCCCAAGAGCAATGGAAGAGTGAAGGTAAGGGGGCTGGTCTTTTCTCTCTGGCTGGGTAATCCTTGCTCCAAGCTTCTGCAAGTTCCACCATAGGATGAGAAAGGGGGCAAGATGCAAAGATCCCTGCTTCTAATCAAAGGCCAGCAATGTATTTCAAATCATAGTCTCTTTATTATAATTCTCACCTTGATAATGAAGCTGAAAAAGTTCCACATCGTATGAATGTGCAAAGTCACGGCAGATACTGCAGCTGTACTGGTACAGCTGTGAACAGGGTTTGACCTGGTAAGTATGAAAATGTCTATCAGGTTAGGTCATTTGAAGCTCTGTCTTTCTTACACATTAGATGTCATTTAAGTATTTGTTGAAAAAAGCCTGGATTTGTAGCCAAGCATGAACCTGAGCTTTAGAGTGAGCCCTATGCTCCCCACCCAGGACTGCCCACTTGTGAAAAATGGGGTGCTTTCCTGTGGCGTACAAAGGGAAAAAGGGAGGGTCAATACAGTGCCCTGTTCCAGGGTAGGAGAGAATCTGAAAATTTTCCTTCCCTTGAGCCTGCAAGAGCTTGCAGGCTGCCATAGCATAGTACTCGGAATTAATAACATGATCATCTTGTCCAACAATGAACAGTAACTGTGCCTCAACTTTCTCCAGTGGGATCAGGCTTTGGTTGCCAGGGGCTTGAAAGGGGTCGATAGAACCTTCAGAAGAATCAAGAATATGGGAATCCGTGACCTTGATGCGTCGTTCATCAAAGGGCAAGGGAGGGATGGTTTTGTCCTTGTAACAGAGGGGAACAGCTGTGATGGCCACAGGGCCATTGAGGGAAGCGACGGCGCTGATGTTCTTCAGGAAGGCGGCCATGGCGAGAGACAGATCAGCTCCTTTGGAGTAACCGAGCAGCCCAATGCCTGGTCCCTTTACCTGATAGACAGGAGGAAAACCTCATCAGTACTGGGCTGAAGAACGCAGCAGCTAGTTCCTGGAGAGGGACACTGTATAGTGCTGAGAGTGCAAAATGATGTGAAGGAGGTGATGGCAGTGATTAGGTTTCCTTCTGGACATGCTAATCACTTCTCTTCCCCTCCCTTCTTCTCTCCCCCTTCACACTGCTGCTTTTCATAATGCTCCCTGGTGCACTGATATCAACCAAGAGAGGCGCCACATGATTTCACCAATTTGAGGGCTGTTTGTAGGACACAGCTAAGAGTTATTAGTCCTAGACACTTCCAGATGCTCTTTACTTTTCACTTTTGAGATGGGAGGAGGATAATGAAATTTGGTGGCAATTCATGAAGGCTCTCTTCTCCACAACCTCCCCATCTTATTATGCCTCAGCTGTCTCTTGTTAGATTGCTTAGTGATTCTCTCCATTGCCTTTCCAGTGCATATCTGTTTGACTCTTTCCTAGAACTCAGACACTCGAACTCCTGGCAAACGGAGCCAGGTGAGCATTTCAGCAGCTTCCTCCAGAGATAACTCAGGCAAAGTGACAGGCACTTTGGAAAAGAAGCACTCCCTGGGGATCTTGGGGAGACATGGAGGGTGCTCCTACCTGTGGGTGCTGCAGCATATAGTTCACTGCCTCTTCAAAGTATTCCAGGTGGAGTTCAGTTGGCTGCTGGGGCAGATCCTCATATTGATAATAAGCCAGAGCCAGTGTGGCAAAGCCATGACTAGCCAGCAGGCTGGCTTTGTGCTCAACCAGACCTCCTCCAAGTCCATGTATGTCAATGATCCCTGGAAAGGAGTCTTCTCCTGGAGTAGACAAGACAAAGAGCAGTATTGACTGAAATGACTCCTTCCAATGTTTCCCTGGTTTGGAATGCATCAGAGGAGGTACACAAGAGGAACCACAGAAAAGCATCTTTTGGGGAAAGGGCATGATAATTTACTCAGCTTTGTTTTTTCAGTAGCTGAAAAAAACTTAGAGTGTGTTGCAGAGGAAGAAAGGCTTAGGAGCAGAACATTTTGGGTCAGTTCCACACTCTTGTTTGATTTAGGAATCAGTGGTATTTCTGTATTGTGCTGAGGGTCAGCAGGCAGAGACTATTTGGTGAAGGTGTCTTGTCCTAGCTTCTCTTCTCCCTCTAAGCAGCCCTGTAACAATGACAACTTCACCTGGCACTGTGAAAATCCTCAAGGTATCAAGATTTGATAGATGCCATACTATTAAAATAGAATCTGTAAGCATTTGTGTTTGTGTTGTGGCTTTTAAACATTTGGGATGCCTTGAAAAGTGGTAAGTACAATCCACCCAACAAGTATTCGTCTCTTTGGGGATCATGTCTCTGACTGTGATTAGTATGAAATTCCGCACAGGATGCCATGGATATCTCACTGGGTGATCAGAGGATCATTGTTTGGAACTTCCTCTCCTGTCCCAGGATCCTCTTTTCCTCATCCTGTAAAAATATTGCTCCTGTCCACCCAGTGCAAGGGAGGAGGGTACTGTGCATGTTGCATTCCTATAGCCTGATGGGTTTTGAGACCACAGGGCCTATGGAAGCTCCTCTGGCTAGAGAAGGTGTCCATGGCCATGCTGAGGAGTGGATAGGACCCAGCTCACCCCTCCTCTTGGTTTCAGGAGCGCCAGACGCCTGAGTGTGCTCATGCCTCCCACTCTACAGGGATGCCCTCCTGCCACAGTCACACACCCTGCACCTCAGTGGCTTGTTCATCCCCAAGCAGGGCTGCAGGTGGTAGGTGGGAACATGCTGCTCTAAGTCAAGGAGGAGAGGGGAGTGCATAGCATCTGCTTGCTCTCTGCCCTGGACCAAAGCCTTACTGTTCCAAAGTGGTTCTGTGCTCTTCATTCTGCCGCTGCTTGCGTGCAAGCAACAGCACATCTACTGGCTTTTTATAGACTATCAGCATTCAAAGCAGTGTCTGAGTACCCCAGAGGCCAGGAGTGCGTTTGTCTGTGGCCCATGGCTCAGCCGAGTGTAGCAAGGATCTGTTGGCTTACACTGAACATGCACAGAAAAGGTAGTAATACTGAATAAAGGGGTGCTCAAGGGAGGTAGGACAGTAGCAAAAGCCCTTTAAGCTCTCCACCTTTAAGTGGCCTTGAGTCATTTGCTGAGGAATACCCAACTCCTGAATCTGAATGTGATGTATAATGTCAAGAGCAGTCTCACGGATTGACACTCATGATAGGGCTATCTCAGTGCAGGACAATATGAATGTGGTGAAATCATAGTGACTGTGAAATGAAACTGTGCAACAGAAATACTGACTACAGACTAAGCTTACAGGCTTGCTAAACTCAAGATGGCTGTGGTGGCAGCAGGATGAGAATAACTCCTGTCCTGGGCCTAGAAAACAATTCAAAGCACCAGGGAGTGCGACAAGGGCCTATAATTTAAAAACACACACAAAAGGAGCTGGTCGGGGAACAATGAGAAATGGCACCAGCATTTGACTTACGGTAAGTGCCTCAGCTCAGAGGCAGCAGGGCATTTTGGATACAAAATGTACGGTGGGTGCTTCCATCTCCTTGTCAGCAGGTGGGGGTAGAGGTGCGGCAGGTGAGGGAGCCCTGGACTTGATGCGAATTGGATGCTGAGCCTGTGAAATCAGCCCTCCCCAAACCTGGACTCCGGAAGGTAAGTCTCTGTGTAGCTACCCAGAGATGTTGCAGTCTGGTGGTCTCTTGGCAACTCTTGCACCTTTTCCAGACAAATTGAATAGTTGTCTTTTCCTACTGGAAAAGTTTAGTCCCTGTAAATGTTCTTGAGCCCCTGCTCTTCCCTCTTTCACAAATTTATTATGTCCACAGGAACCCAAACCTGGTGGGCAGTTGTCACAGCAGAGTTAGCTGCTACTGCGCTGTGGGGAGACGAAGGATCCCCCAAACACCCCCACAGTGAGGAGGACTGCCAAGGACTGGCACAGAGTCCCTCTCTCACCACTCCCTTCTGCAGCTTCTTGTCTCCAGCAGCCCTCCTAGCATGCTTACTTCCACGTGAGAATTTCTTCACGTGTGACCTCAAGCTCTGGGCAAGAAGGGTTATTCCTCTGCCTGCTTCTGCACCCATGTCCTGGTACCTGCATGGCCAGGTGAATGGGGCATGATGGTCAGGCTGGTTGGTGGTGCAGGAGGGAAGGAGGGATGAAGGGAGGGAAAGACAGGGGCTTTCTTAGACTCCCCTTTTACAGAGGTGATGGAAACGATTGCACTGACAAAACACTGAGTTAGGGAAAGCAGGATGGCTGCAGCCGGTACTCACCGGGGGGCAG